GTCGGCCGGGCCTGGCACGACGTGCGGCAACCTCGGCTGCCCGGCCGACTAATTTCGGAACGGTGAGTCCAGGGTGACAGATTGGAACCCGACCTAGCTCCTCCGCAGAAGCGGGATGGAGGCGGCGGGGCCAGCTCCACCCGGAACTCTCGGGAGCCGCGGATCCTCAGCTGGGAGGGCGTGGGTTTGCGGTCTGGAGGAGGAGGCACGCGTGGGCGAGGGAGGGTGTGGAAGGCTCCCGAGAGATGGCAGGTTTGGGAGAGCTGGGCTGGATACGCAGGTCGAGGTTCTTTGCCTAGACGAGGTGTGCTGGGAAGGAGGCCTCCCGGGCCTCAGCTGTGAACGTCGGTCTGCAGCCCTCCGTTTTCTCCCAAGGTGTCTGTCTAAGCTTCTATCAGCGCCTTTGCTGTCTGCTGAGTCCCTCAGGTCTGCTCTTGTAGACTTACGAAATGCAGGGCAGGACAGGTTCCTTGTTGCCTCCATAGGTAGAGGAACAGATTGGACCTGAGCAAGTGGGTCACTTCACCAAGGTCACCGGGTTTCTTAGTTGGTTTATCTTAGTGATAGCACTCAAACTCAGGCTCAGGAGCCCTCTACTATATTGTTGTCAAGTTCCAGTGGCTTAACAAAGGGTGATTTTGAGCAGCATCATTCAACTTTGTACAAGTAAAGACTCAACCATGGGACTCTCTTTCTTTTTTCAGAGCATCCTGTGGATTTTCTGGTCTTCAGGACCTGAAAGGCAGTGAAAAAGTAGATGAATGTTGTATGATGTAATTCTTTTTTTCTCTGACATGTAATGGTGGCCAATTATTTCAGTAGAATTCTGTGTTCTTCTCCATGAAAATCTCACCCCTTTGTTGACCATGTAACTGTGTGTGGGTTATAAACATGCACGTGGGCATTGCTTCTAATTTGAGGACCTGTTGGGACAGTCTCCCATAAGGTTGACTTATGGGGAAGTTTACAAAGGATATTCCTGCTGTATCAGGGCAGATCACACATGATGACACTGCTTGCATTTTTCCTCCCCCAGATCTGCCTCTACTTTTACTCTTCTACGTTCTTCCAAGAACAGTTGAAAATGAAGAAATCCCTGGTGAGTTTGTCTGTTCATGTGTTTATTCTTTGCTTTGGTTTACAGTATACCTTAAGAGTTGAAAAAGTTTCCAACTTTAAAGTGGGAATAGAAATAGGCTTGGTCAAACAAAACAGACTTGGGATTACCACCAGACATTTTTACCCTGCTCATTCATGTAGATAACACAATCGCAAATGTGTCCCACATCCTTGGCATTCATAGCAAAAAAGGACAAAACCATCCATTCCTCACCTTAACATTGATCATAACCAGAAGATGTGTGTCTTCTCATAGGTTTTAAAGATACCTTTGATGTAATTGTGAATAGCCTTCCCATGTAACGACCCTTAAACCACTGCTGCCAGTGTCTCCCTTGGCCTTCATAAGTAAGAAAGCAGAGTGTGTTATGCTCAGGAAGGACTCAATGCGCATAACTTTTCTGGTGACCAAAACATTGCTTTCTTGTGGACGTATTGTTTTTACTCCTCACTCCAGGGATGCACATGGATCATCTGAAGGAATAGTCTTTTCACTCTTAAGTGAGTCTCTGTAAATAGTTGATTAGGAAAACAAAGTTGCCAGTGAACTGGGAGGGAAAAGAAGATGGGGGAAAACAGGTTTGAGAAAAGCCACAAGTATATTTTTGCCATTTTAAACTGGAGTTACTCACATGAGAGGCAGTGGCAGTGTCAGGTAGACAGGAAGTATTGTTGGGCTTCAGCTTTAAGTCTGGGCTGGGTGTCTGGTGGAATAGGGGTGATCCCAGGGCTTTTCCATATACAGAGTCTACCAGAAGTGGAAGGACTGGGTGGGGCTGCTTCTAAACCAAGAGTGAGAACCAGGAGCATAAGGTTGTTCACCATGAAATCCAGTGGCAGAACTAGCCCTGAGGTTCAGCCCTGGGCAGGTCCTGGGCCTCCTCAGGATTTGCTTGGCTGAATTGAGGTAAATCCTGACTGGTGGGCTTAGAAAAGAGTTGTTAGAGTCAGATTTGATCTGTTCTTAACTTAGACATTCTGCCCCAAAGGGGAAAAGAAAAATTGGCCCCTAGCTGGAGCAGAAGTTGAGGTCACGAAAGGATTCTCTTGTGTGGTGATGGGAATGATCTAGTGGGGAATGAGCACAGGTGATGAGTGGAGGAGAGGGGCATGAGGCTGGAGGGCTCCTGGAGTCAGCCCAGGCAGGCGCTGACTCAGGCCTGACTGTGCGAGATGTGCAAGGGTGTGGTGTTCCTCCTGTGTGCTTCTCTGGGAAGTAGGTCCTGCCCCACTGAGAGGGAAGGTGAAGCTAAGGTCTTCATAGGGAGCCCTGTGGCCCAGCTGGGGTTCTCTCCTCATTTCCTACAGCATGGACAGTTTGCTTTTCGGGCTACTCACATCTTGCTTCTCAGCTGGAAGTAGTGGAGACCAATGATCCCCCCACACACATGCATCGCCCCCGTTCTCTGCCTGGATTCCCAAAGAAGCCTCCTGCCTCTTGCTCCTCTCCTCACCTAGTGTTTCATCTCTGTTTTAGCCATTCGTGTCGCAGTTTTTCAGATGTGGAGACGGGCTTTTAAGAGGCTTTCCTTGGAGCTCCTGGTCTCCTTGGAGGAGCAGTTGACAGAGTAATAAGGGGTGACAAGGAGAGTCTGGGTGGTACATGCCTGGGGGACTTGGAGTGACATCAGAGCAGAGGTTTGGTTTTCAGTATTGTCAGAATGTCCTGACAGTGCACAGGGTTTCCCACAGCAATGGAGGCTTTAGGGGCTAAGGATTTCAGATGTGCAGCCTAGTGCCCGGAACAGCATGGGGTGGGTTTGGGGGCTGAGCAGGCTCTTGGAAGGCCAGTAAGAGACTGTGAGATCAAGCAGTAGAGGTAAACACTGAGAAGAGCAGCACATCATCAGATAAAAAGATATAATCATAGATTGACCAGTATGGAAAGCATGAAATGCTGGGTGTGTAAAGGAGGGAGTCAGGAGACTCAGCTCTCCAGCTGAGCTCCAAGATAGGGAGTAGGACTAGGGAGTAGGACAGTGTTTCAGTGGATCCCAGGCCCAAAAATGTCAATAGGCTGGGGGATTCTTCATCATGGATGAGAAGGCTCATGTTTAAGTGTATTCATACATTTTACTTAGAAGCCCCCCATTCTTTCAGTGACTAGATTATGTTTTACAGTAATTTTGTTATACAGGTATCACAAAGTTCTCATAAATTCCTCCCCTCACAGCTTTCTATTAGTAACATCTTGCATCAGTGTGGTACAATTGCTAGACCAATATTAACACATTATTATTATTATTTCTTAAAATGTGCCTGGGCACAGTGGTACACACCTGTTATCTTAGCTACGAGGAGATCAAGGCAGGAGGATCAGAAGTTCAAAGCACACCTCAGCCAAAAAATATATATATATTTCCTAAATGTATAGTTTACGTTCAGGTCCACTCTGTGTTTTATAGTTCAGGTTTTGACAAATTCTGATGACATGTATCCAGTGTCATAGATTCATCCAGAGCTGTTTTACTACTTTAAAGACTCCTGTGCCGCATCTCTTCATCCCTCCCTCCCACTTTGAGCTCTGGTGGCCGCTTACCTTTTTGTTGCTTCTCGTCATCTTTCCCAGATTGTCATCTAATAGAAGCCACACAATAAGTAGCTCTTCAGACAGGCCTGTTTATATGAAGTGCCCAGTATATCCACGCAGCCTTTCTACTGTGTTGTTTGCTTTTTTTCTTGTTGATGTGTAAGTAGTGTTACCAGTGGTACTCATGTTTAATTGGAGGCATGACAAGTATCAGAAATGACAAGTACCAAATTGATTGGCTGGGGAAAGGGTAGCGAATCATGAGGTGTTGTCCTCCACTGCTTGGTCTGTGGAGTTCGGTTCGAGAGCTCAGACTGGGAGGGTAAGGCATGGAATCACCAGGCAGACTTCTCTGGAACACTTCCGTATTATTTAGGAAATGCACAGGCTTATATAGCTTACCTGTGGACCACCATGGGAGAGGAGCATGGGAGGAGCATTTGATTACATGGCACTTTCTTATAGGTTATACAGATCCATCCATTAGTGGAGAACATTGGGCGATAATCTTATTGGTTGGACATATGGTGGGATGATTTTTCTTGGGCGAGGTGAAGGAGTCACGGACTAGGGGCAGAGGTGTAGCCTGTTAGACCCAGCGTCTAACACTTAGGTGAGCTTGCTCAGCCTTAGTTTCCAAGCTTGCTCAGGAAATAGGAGTGCGGCGCACCTGGTCCAACCAGGCTTGAACTCCCAACAAGGCAATCAACACCTACAAGTTCTAGTTTTGGTGTCAAGTAACAAATGATGAGTACCAAGAAGAACTGCTATAAAATACAAGATGCATTGAGTACAGAATTTGATGAGTTTCAAAGCAGTGGAGTACCAAGATTCAGCTGTACTCTCAGATGTTTATATGTTTTTCCAGTTAGGGTCACATTAGTAAACATTTTCTTCCAAGTTGATTTCTCTTTCACTTTACAGTATTACCATATAACTTGAGTACTTCCATTTTGAGAAATGAAGTAGTATGTACTTCTAAACATCTCAGAGTGAGAAAGCGTGGCGCAGGTGGTACCCACTCTGCTGTGTACCAAACCACAGCTTCTTAATGGGCCCCATCAGTGCTGGGACTGGGAAGACTATGTGTCTGTGATTCCTGTTTCTGGTATTCCTAACTCCCTCTTATCTCCAGAGTGCTGCATCCATTGTGTTCCCTAGATGGCCACATAGCTGGTGTCCTGAGGTTTGACCTGGGGTCTGAACTTCCAGCAGTGTCCATGTCTTTCCTAGCATGCACAAGGCCCTCAGTAAGTGGCTGGAGGCCTTTGGCCCACAGTTTTTGTGGCTTCCACAGCAGGTCCCAGTGACAAATGTGAGGCTGCTGTGACCTTCAGAGGCAAGTAAAAATGAATCACTCTCTGTCTTGTTTACATTGCAGTCCTCTGAGGAATGTGCATTTTCCTGTTTTTATTAAAGGAGTTTCCCCTGAACTCTTGTCTTCCTGAGCGACTCAGGAGTGTGGGAAAGGTAAGCAGGGGACTCACCACCAGGCAGCAGTAGAGGAGCTATACACATCAAGACACAGCCCTGAGGGAGAGGTGCCGAAGAAGTTCATGATATCTTTACTCTCCTGGCTTCTGAAAATATAGCATCTAGTTCTGAGTTCTTTTCTTATAAAATGGTCTGAAATATTGTCTCCACTGAGCAGTCTTCTTTTTTTTTTCCTTTGAGATGGGGCCTTGCTATTTTGCCCAGGCTGATCTCAACTTCCTGGGCTCAAGCAATCCTCCCATCTCAGCCTTCAGGCAGCTGGAACTAGAGGTTACAAACATGCTTGTAACTTAGGAAACTAATCTAAATTCCTAACTTTATACAGTTCTGATTGATTGCTTGTCTTTCTGAAACCTATTTTCTCAGTTATTGCCTGCAAGACTTGTTTTGAGCCAGAGGAGCCAGTGCAGTTTTCCTCTCCTTTATGAATAAAAATGAACTCAGGCACAAGATTTAAACTGTCCTCAAATGAAAACTCAGTTTGGAACATCACAAGCATGGTGCATTACAAACAGTAGAAACTTTTTTCATACAGTATTATTTTTTCCTCATAAGGCACAATTATAAACCATAAAAACACACACATATTACACATTTTATAAAATTATAAATGAAAAACCAGAAATTTAGAATAAGGTAATGCCTGTTAATGCATTAAAATTTGACTGTTTCTTCATGCTTTGCTCCCTCAGTCTTTGCATTTGGTGATGATCTTTAATATATGAGAACTTCAGGGCTGACCCATTTGACTTTTTTTTTTTTTTCATATCGAGGTTTGAACTCAGGACCTTGCACTAGTGAGGCAGGTGGTAGAACCACTGAGCTAAATCCCCAGCCACCCCATTTGACTTTTTGGACCTCAAAATAGTTTTCCTTTCTTTCAGATAGCATTTCATATTAAGCAGCCATTCATTTATCCTGTCGTCACACTCTTCTAATTACTGAGATTCTAAATGAATTAAATATTCCTTCCCCAGGAAGCTAACTTGGTGGGAAAGACTAAAATGAAAATGTGCAGATTGTGTAAAATCTACAGAGGAAAGGTGTGAATAGAATGCTGTGTTCATTCTAGAACACAGGACCTTGTGCTTGCTAGGCAGGCGTGGTGCCACTGAGCTAAATCCCTGGCCCTCTAAGTATGATGCTAGTAAAGAGCACGTCATGTCCCTGGGATTATTTTTGTTTTTGTTTGTTTTTTGAGATAGGGTCTTGCTATGTAGTTGAGGCTGGCCTTGAACTCAGTATATATCCAGGCTGGCCTCACACTCATGATGATCCTCTTGCCTCAGCCTTCAGAGTACTGAGTCTACAGCTGTATGCCACCGTGCCCAACTGTCCCTGGGACATTTTTAACATGAGAGATTGCAGTTTAAATAGATTTGGTCCATTTGCACTTATTTTAGTCATAGGTATATGTTATCTCATACATTTATCTTTCTGTTTTTATTTATAAGACAGTCATATCATTTGCTTTTTTTCCTAAATTTTCCTGAATCAGTGACATCTTCACACTTCCCCTTCTCTCAGGAGTACTTTTTTTTGGTACCAGGGATTGAACTCTGGCCCTTGCACTTGCGTGGCCACTGAGCTAAATAAATCCCCAGCCCTCTCAAGAGTACTTTGAAGATCAAATGCCTGTTGTTGCTCATTGTATAACAACTGTATCAACACATATCAGTGGACAGACTAAACAGAGGGAATTCACCAATGGAGTAAGTGAAACAAAGCTGACTTTGCTAAGACAAGAATGACTTGTTACCACACAGCAAGGCAGAGTGATGGGATGTTCAAACTTCCGAAACTCTGTGGTTCTCATTAGATCAGCCAGTCAGGGCTGATGATGGCTAGGTGACAGATGGGCAGGGCTTCTGGAAGCTGCAGGATTGCTGTACCAGACAGCCTTCTCACCCACTGAGACAGTTGTGTCATGGATCATTCTGGCTAGCTCGGGTCTCACTTGTCTATCACTACACTCCAACCAAAATTATTCCCCTCTACCCTGACCTCCCTCACCTGTCCAGGCCAGCTGAGCCTGCTCCCTGGACACCTAGCATCTGGAGCTGAGAGATAACTTTGGCGTCTTGGGTGTCCTGCCAGTAGGATCCTTACTGCATGCATGTATGGCTGTACACAGAGAAGTCAGAATGTTCAGAAATGTTAGCTTATCACTAGCCTTTCTTCCCCACCTTTCCATATCTGTTCTGCTTCTGTGTTTTGCTGAAATCATCTGAAGCCTTTGTTTTTTCCATTTTATGATCCTTTTAGGGCAGGTGCGTAAAATTCAACAGCTAATTAACCTTCCAGTAGTTTAAACTTACAGGTTTTGTTTTGTTTTGTTGTGGTGCTAGGAATTCTACCAGTGGCCTTGCTCTACCACTGAGGCATATCCCCAGCCCTTTTATTTTGAGTCTCACTCAGTTGACCAGGCTGGGCAATTCGCAGTTTTTCTGCTTCAGCTTCCCAGGTAGCTGGGATTATAGGTATTCACCACTGTGCCTGGCTCCATCTGTGTTTTATAGTTAATGATTAATCCTATCTTGGAAACTGATAACATACATTATTCAACAATATCAATAGGTACTAATGGTGAGTACATATCATGTCCAGAAAGCTGTGTTAAGTGCTTTTCCACAAAGCCCCCATTTCCAACTGGTATATTATACTGTGTGACATGGACCATTGTCACTTTATTGTAGAAATGGTGATTCTAAAGGGACTCATCGTAGCACTGGTATATTTGTGAATGGGACAGGTTTATTCAAAAGACACACATTTCAAGATGGAGTTTTATCAGTTTTCCAATTGCTATCTGTCCTCTGGAGTGTGCTCTCCTTTCCTGGAGTGTATGAATGGGAAGAAAGAAGATTCAGGGTTCCCACCTTTAGTTGGGAACAGCTGGGTCAAACTAGTATGGATATCTCACATGGCAGGCTATAAGCTTACCCTGCAGTAAGACAAAATTAGACTGGGGATGTAGCTCAGTGGTAGAGTGCCTGCTCTTAAATGTGTGCAGCCCTGGGTTCACTTCCTAGAATGACAAAACAAAGAGAAAGACAGAAAACTAGTATGGCTTTGGCTTGCTTATTGCTTTGTTGATTGTAGCAAGAATTGGAGAGCAATTCCAGTAGGTTGTGGGAGAAACTGGCTTGGACAGGAATAGCAATCGAATTTCGGGTATATTGAGTTTAAGATCTCCAACACAAGTGTCTGAAGCTTAGGAGAGAGGCCTAGACTGGTGACAGAAATTTGGGAAATGCTGGTACAGAGATGACAAATTAACCATGATGCCAGCCAGGCCCACCATGAAAGCAGCAAGTACATATAGCAAATAGAAAATAGCCGAAGACTGAGCCCTAGGGCATCCAACTTCAGGGTAACTTGGAAAAGAGAGAGGTGCCTAAGAAGGAGTGGCTGGGGGATAAGAGGAGAAGCAGCGCCCATTATGGATTGCAACCTAGTGCTGCCGAATGCCCCACAGACCTGTGTTCCTCCAGGGCTCTACCACCTGGTTAGGCTTCTTCATGGCCAAGATCACTCCTGGCTTACAAGACAAGCCCAGTATTTTCTTTGTCTTAATGAATATGCATGAGTCCTGTGGCAGTGTGTCTGAGATGAGTGTTCTCCTTCCACACTCTGATGTAAAATAAATGCAGTGTTCACAAGTAACTTTTTCAGGGACTATGAGAAGATCTTGTCCCTGTGTGCCTTTTCCACATCACCCAATTTGGGTTACTGTGCCATTGCAGGGGCCCGTGTCATTCAAGGATGTGGCTGTGGACTTTACCCAGGAGGAGTGGCAGCAGCTGGATGCTGATGAGAAGACAACATACAGGGATGTGATGCTGGAAAACTACAACAACCTTGTCTCTGTGGGTGAGGACAGCTTGCTTTCTCAGTTACTAAAATCCATGGCATTTCTCTCAGATTTAATGGCTATAACTTTGAATTTGGTGTGACAAAGGTGAGTGCTTTATTTGGGACACCAGGCAGGGCACGTTGGTGGTCTTGACCTCTCCAGTGGAAGCTTTCATTGAGCACCAGGGTACTTGTATAAGCACAGTGGCATTCACCCTGCATGAGGAGACCCCGAAGGCAAGCTGCCAGGCTCAAGTTCTCTTTCATTTCTCATTAACAGGGTGGCACATTATCAAACCGGATGTTATCATCAAGTTGGAGCAAGGAGAAGAGCCATGGATAGTAGAAGGAGCATTCCCACCTCAGAGCTACCCAGGTGTGTTAGAGGAGGTAGAGAGGAGATTGGTAACTGGGGAATGTTTCTCCCACAAACTTTCTGATGGTCCCAAACCTTTTTAAGTGACTAAAGATAGTTACTTTACGCTGTAGCTACCTGACTCTTACTCCCAAAGACATCTTCCTTCCCTATACAAATGTGTTTATGGAGCTTTGCCGTGCTTACCACTGCCCAGAATCCTTCTTCTTCTTCAACCTTGGGACTTTGCCCAATCTTCTAGCATTTTCAGTAACCCATTATCGTAGATCCTTTTTCCCCCCAAGGTGTTTATAAGTCTTATTTTTAAGAAATGTGGCTTTAATGTTACTACCTTCCTGGTTGTTTTTTTGGGGGGAGGGGAGTTCTTTATTTTGAAATGCCTCAGACTCATTACTATGCCCAGTTCTATTTTTTCCTTCTCTTCCTTTGAAAGATTCCAAAATCCCCATCTGCCTAAATGAGTAGATTCTGTACACTTCATTGGCACACATGATTGTACTTCATTTGATAGTGTTGGTCTTTCCTGAAATCCAGCCCCCCTGAAGTTTGGTGACAGCAGTAACTGGGTCTCCCTTTCTTCCTAAGTGCTCATTTTTATTAGCTTTTACTGTTTTATTCCCAGTGGCTTAAGTAATGTCCTGTCACAGCAGCTTCTCAGTGGGCATTACATACATAAATATCTGAACTATCCTTCCACCTCCTACAGAAATGTCTTGCAGAGATCTATTTCCACCTGCTATGATTTTCTTCTTTTGTGAGTTCCTCAAAGGGCTTCTCCAGCTTGAGTCTGTCAGTTTTTTGTTTTTATACTGCACACACTAAAATTGACATCTCTGCCACCATTCTGTAGACCTAGGTTTTCTGTGACTGCAGAGCTTGTCTTGTTCTCATATATCTGAAAACTGATTGTGAACTCTTCCAAATATAATTACCCAACACCTTTTCCCTTCCCTTACTAAATTACAGTAACCTTCTCTTTCCTATAATAGTCCTTGTAGAATCAATAAAAATACCCACTGCTCAGCAGGCATTACTGATCTCTGAAAGATGAATGGGTTTTCTCTTTTGTGAGATTTTTTTTTCCTGGTTCTAGGAATTAAATCCAGGCCTTCTCACTGAGCTATATCCTCAGCCATATTTTTGTTTTTTATTTTGAGACAGATTCTTACCAAGTCACTAAGTTGCTCATGCTGAGCTCATACTTACGATCCTCCTGCTTTAGCCTTTCAGAGGCTGGAATTCTAGGAACATGCCAACAGAGGTATCTTAATCCTCTATATACTGTTTCCTTTGAGTTAATGTAGTCAAGAACTATTCTCTGTTGTGCCTGGATTGCTATGAATACTGATTGGATTTATAAGGTGTCTTTATCTGAAGTCTCTAGTTGATCTTATGCCTAGCCTGACATGACAGCCTCTCCCATTCATTATGGCTTTCTGAGGTGAATTAACTTCTCCACCCTCAGGGATCACCACAGTATTAGCCCTGTATTGCCTAGGAGAAGTAATTTCCCAAAATGCTCACTGAACTCACTTGGTGCACACTCTTAAAGTCTTCTCTTCAGACATTCATCCTGTGGCTTCATGTGTTGTAGGCATGGCCTGTGCTTTCCAGACAACATGTTCTTTAAGTCTGACCTTAAATTTCTTGCCTTTGTGAAGTCTGGTTCCTTCCTGACTCTTAGGATTATTCCATTCTTCTTTCTTTCCACTCCAGTTCCATCCAGGCCAAAAAACTAAAAGTTCATCGGATCAAGTAATCTGGACTCTTGATAGGATATAGATTTTTTTTTTAACTATTTGGTATCCTGGATTATAATCCTATAAAGAAAACACATATTGTCTTCCCTCAATATAGTCACATAGAGTAGTTACTTGTTTCTTTGAGGACCTAGGAAGGTCAAAGGACTTTCTTGTCCATTCTTTCAGAAATATGAATAAGCAGTTACTTCTGAATACACATACCTAAGTCACATGCCCATGTACTTTGCAAGCACCAGAAAAATTCTATATGAGTCAGAATAAGAACAACTTTTCTAATTTCAAAGGAAAAAGAAAGGAAGTCATACTTCTAGGCCAGTGGTGGTGAACCTATGGCATGAGTGCTGCAGCAGGCTGTTTATATCATTGAAAGCTCTGCAAGATTCACTGTCATTGTTCTGGGAGATTGGTTTTTGCTATCTGGGAACAGAGCTGCCTGAGGTAATTTAAAATTTAGCATATTACCTAGAGTGCTTATGTTCTCATACAAGGCTGAGCCACACTGTGCTAAAATGATTTTATGGACAGTGCTTGTTTTCAATTTGAAGGTGAAATGGAGTTAATTGAGGTAAGAAAGAATTTGGAAGCATGGAACCTCTTTTAAAGACAGGCTTTTAGTAGCCAGACAAGAGTCAAATAAAAGGAGTGAAATATAAGAGCTAAGATGTGTGGCTGCAGCTGTGTAGGGCATGTTACCAGCACCACAGCAATCTCTGCAGGAGGTGGTAGGGCCTGAAATAGTGATCTGTCTTGTGCCAGCTTGCTGTGACTCCATGAGTGTAAAGTTCTCATCACCATCTCCAAAATGAAGCCCTACTTGGATGTATCTTATGACTCTGCTTCTCCAACAAATAGTTTGGTTTTCCTGGGACAGAATAATTTTAGTGATGACTCATGCTAGTTTGGCGTCATTGTGAATCCAGGTAGTGAAAAAGTATTTTTGTCATGTGCCCCCCCCCCATTTTATCTGTTGTTTCTGGCAGTAAGTTCAGGGAAGCTGTAGATTCAAGACACTAAGGTTACCATGGTTTTTCATTTTATGTGGATGTCGGCCAGGGCAATAGTCAGCCTTACCCCAGAAGATCTAAAATGGGTAAAAATGAAAGCCACCATGGTGGAAGCAGGCTGAGGGATCTCTCCTTAACTACTAATATACAGCTTAAATACTTAAATACTAACAAATTTGCATGCAAAATTAGGTGGTGACAGTATGTCCAGCACAGCAAAATAATTGCTCAACTTACTGAGCATATTCTGGTTTTTGCCAAAAGCTCTTCCGACCACCTCACTAACTTGAGTAATCCCACAAGACCCCTAGAGGTCAAGCTGTCATCTCCATGTGACAGGTGGGATGCTGGCCATAGAGGCTACTTGTAGCTGACTCATTCACCTCACCCAAGTTCTGCTCCATTGTCCAAATTGGAACAAAGGAATTGGACAGTGGACATTCAGATGAGTTCATTACTGAATCACAGCATCATTAGAATATTTAAAAATTCTGAAATTCTGGAAGGGTGGCCTGTTCTTTGGACCATATATGCTTCATATTGGACACAGATGTTCCAAGACTTTCCTTCCAAGTGAGTAGACTTTAGAGGGGAAACCCTAGTCACTGGTTCTAAACATGAATTCTAGGTATAAATTTATTTGGCACTACTGTGTGGAACGGAAAAAAGCTAAAGTAGTGTGAGAGATGCAGACAGCCAAAGTGCTGCCATAAAAATCTTGGCATGAGAGGACAGTGCCTTAGGGGGCAGCTTATCTCTCCAAATGAGATATGAATGATGCCTAGCCAAGTGATGTTTATCCCAAGCTGAGCTCTCCTGCTGCCCTGTGGGATTTTCCTGTCTGTACTGATTCCTTTCATACCTCCCTCAGCTGCCCCAGCAACATCCTTTGTCTATCACTCATTACTCTGTGGCTTGAGACTGTCTTCTACAGCCAGTCTTGAGCAAAATATTACAAAGTAACATATATCAAAGATGCTGTGTTTTTGTTAGTTTACTTCCTTTCCCCACCACTGGAGGATTGTGTTTTATTCTGAGCAACAGAGTGAGGGGAAAGGCACTTTGTCTCTGTCCATGCAGCTACCATCTGCCCCAATTAGATGCTGCATACCCGTCTTATTTTATATCTTGGGCTGGAGGTTACACAAAAGTTGGTTCCTTTTGCCTTTTTCAGATGAAGTCTGGCAAGCTAATGACCTGATGGAGAAAGTCCAGCAAGATGTAGATATGTTCTTCATCAATAAAACCCTGATTGAAGAGAGAGGTAATGTTTCTGGTAAAGCTTTTAATGCAGAAATGAGCCCTGTTCCTTCAAGAAAAATAGCCTCTAAGTGTGATGCCTGTGAAAAGAGTTTAACATCTATTTCAGAATACATTAGTAGTGATGGAAGCTATGCAAAAATGAAACCTGATGAATGTAATGGGTGTGGGAAATCACTCCTCCACATTAAACTTGAGAAAACACATCCAGGAGATGAGTATGGAGGAGCTTATGCCATAAATGAAGAGAGTATTTATCAGAAAGTGCGTGTTCTGGAGAAACCTTTCGAATACATCGAATGCCAGAAAGCCTTCCAGAACAACTCAGTTTTTGTTAATGACATGGAGGAGAAGCCCTATAATTGGAATGAATCCGAAATAGCTTTTCTCCAAATGTCAGACCTCAGTGGCCATCAGAGATCTCACTTGGACATGAAGTCCTATGAATGCCGGGAATGTGGGAAGTCCTTCTGTAAAAAGTCAAAATTCATTATCCACCAGAGGACTCACACAGGAGAGAAACCTTATAAATGTAACCAGTGTGGGAAGTCTTTCTGCCAGAAGGGAACACTCACAGTACACCAGAGGACCCACACAGGGGAGAAACCCTATGAATGTAACGAATGTGGGAAAAACTTCTACCAGAAGCTACACCTTATCCAACACCAGAGAACTCATTCGGGAGAGAAGCCCTATGAATGCGGTTATTGTGGGAAATCCTTCTGCCAGAAGACACACCTCACACAGCACCAGAGGACACACTCAGGGGAAAGACCCTATGTGTGTCATGACTGTGGCAAGACCTTCTCCCAAAAGTCAGCACTTAATGACCACCAGAAGATTCACACAGGTGTGAAGTTATACAAGTGCAGTGAGTGTGGCAAGTGCTTCTGTCGCAAATCTACACTCACTACCCACCTGAGGACACACACAGGTGAGAAGCCGTATGAGTGCAATGAATGTGGGAAGTTCTTTTCACGTCTCTCATACCTCACTGTGCACTATCGCACCCACTCTGGGGAGAAGCCCTATGAGTGTGCTGAGTGTGGAAAAACCTTCTACTTGAACTCGGCCCTGTTGCGGCACCAGAGAGTACACACAGGGGAGAAGCCATATGAGTGCAATGAGTGTGGCAAGCTCTTCTCCCAGCTCTCCTACCTCACCATCCATCACCGGACACACTCTGGAGTGAAGCCCTATGAATGCAGTGAGTGTGGGAAAACCTTCTACCAGAACTCTGCCCTGTGCAGACACCGCAGGATCCATCGAGGAGAGAAGCCCTACGAGTGCTACATCTGTGGGAAGTTCTTCTCTCAGATGTCCTACCTCACCATCCACCACAGAATCCACTCAGGAGAAAAGCCCTATGAATGTAGTGAGTGTGGGAAAACCTTCTGCCAGAACTCAGCCCTTAACAGACACCAGAGAACACACACAGGTGAGAAAGCCTACGAATGCTATGAATGTGGGAAGTGCTTCTCCCAGATGTCGTATCTCACCATCCATCACCGGATCCATTCTGGAGAGAAGCCCTTCGAATGTAATGAGTGTGGAAAAGCCTTCTCTCGGATGTCATACCTCACTGTGCACTACAGAACCCATTCAGGAGAGAAACCCTATGAATGTACTGAGTGTGGGAAGAAATTCTACCACAAATCAGCATTCAATAGCCATCAGAGAATCCATAGGAGAGGGAGTGTGAATGTGATCGATGTGGGACAGCTTCTGTGAAGTCAGACCTCAGCCCTTTCAATACAATAAGCAAGAAACTCATAACAGAAGTCAAACATAATTGTACAGTTGGCTCTATATCCATGGGTTCTATATCTGGATTCAACCAGTCAGAAATATTTGGTAAAAAAAATTGTACCTGTACTGAATACACGCAGACTTTTCTTTTTACTATTTCCTGAATAATACAGTATAACAATTCAACTATTTGCATTGTATTAGTTATTATAAGCAACCTGGAGGTGATCTGAACTGTTTGGGAGATTACATGGATTATATGCAAATACTACACTTTTACCAAAGGGCCTAAACATCTGCAGATGGTATTGGAGGAGGTAGGTCCTGGAACCAACACCCACTCGAATCCCAACCCCATACAGAAAAGGCAGTGCATCTGAGAGTTCACACAGGTCAGTATGGATAAGCCCTATACATTAGTCATCATTGACATTCACAGGCAGAAACCATGATGGTACCAAGACCATATGACTCGTTAAATGCCAGACTGTATAGGAGTAGGAATGTATAAATACTTAGAAATATATATATGTATGTGTCTGTGTATGTGTGTGTGCGTGTGTGTTTCACCAAGGATTCGAACTGCTTTGCATATCAGGGAATTCTTTCAGTTTAAGGAATGTGGAAACATAATCTTTTGGAAATTGTTAAATACTAAAAAGACAATTCTGGTGTAAAAACAAACTTGTAAAAAAAAAAGAAAAACAGAAGATACCTGCTGTGAACAAACATACATACACTTTGTATAAACAGAAGATGTAAAATCATCAGGATAGAGAGCTAAGTCTGCAGCATTAAATTCATATATAAACAGCTCCCAAGGAAGACAGGATGAGGGAGTTTCTTTTTAATATGTTACATTATAGGAATTGTATGTTCAGCATTATATCCTTATGAATTTATATCTGATAAGATTACTCATTCCAAGTAGCACTTACGTGTTAATGCTTTTGTACACATTGTCATTGAAATTACCTTTGGTAGGTATAAAGTATATTTATATTCTTCCCTGGTATTTATAAATAGCCAGTTGATCATTGTTAGTGAACTACATGATCCATTAAAAAAGCAATGTTTTTCTAATAAGGTCTTCAACTATAGATGACTCAGCAAAAGAGATAGATAAATATGTAGAAAATAGATTTTTTTAAATCCTGCATAGATGATTTTAAATTGGTAACCTAGAATTCTCCAGGAGTGAGAAATAGCTTTAGTACTTAACTGCACTCTGCACAACTAAAAACTATACTCAAAATATCACTGCTTGTTTCTTAATCTATTTTTTATTTGGATGTTTATTTGTGTATTGGAGCACAGGAACTGAGTAACATCGGAGTTGTCTTTCTGATCTAGTAGTGTTTGTTAGCACTTGCTCTGCTCATTTATAAAGGAAGTGAGGACACATATAGGAGTTTGTGGCAGAATTTGTTGTGTGACTTCCCCAGTCATTCTGTCGTTACTTTGCTGTCAGAGTCTGGGTACCCACTGCTCCTTAGGGGCAAGAGGTAAATCCTGGTTAGTTTGGTTCAGTAATGATAATTCATTTTCACTGCTAGCAGTTGCTGTCAAATGGTCATAGGACCTAAGACTAAACAAATGAACAAACACACCTGATGGATTGTTTCTGGAAAAAGTTTCCTCAAAGGTTCAAGGATTCAAGCAACGTGAAGGAAAGTCTTTTTGTGAGAATGGCTTTATCTGGATGTGGTTCCTGGTAGTGTCTTCCAGCAAGGGATTATAGTTTATTCATGACCTTCACAAAAAGACTGGAAGATTCTGGGACTTAAATGATGGAGTAACTGACCCACAGAACCAACCAGCCTTGTGGCCACTTGATGTCTGGACTATTTCTTTTGTGAGAGATTATATTTATTTTTAAGCCAGTTAACTTAGAATGCTCTGTTGCTAATGACTGAAGACATTCTGAAACAGTTACACTTTTATAGGAGTTATGCAATTCAGAAGTGGACTTCAGGTAAATCACTTATTTTGAGGTGTTGATTCAGAGATCTTATTTTCTGTAAATTGTGATGTAAATAGTTTGAGCATTGAAAATCAACTTGAAATAATTAAATATGTATGCCTCTTGAACTGTCCTATCATTGACCTGCAAAATTACATTTTTTAGTGTATGAAATAAATTTTGTTAGAGGTAATTTATTCATGGATTATTACTATTAGTTGGTAATATGTGTTGCAAGGTAAAGATCTAATTTTACTTTTAAATGATTGGGATTATATGCCCTGCATCATTTGAATAATTCACCCCTTTATACCACTGAGCTGAATCGCTATGTTTTTCTTAAATATCACACATGGCTCCTGTTTTTATTGCACAAGTTTCTGTAGTCTTCTGATTATGATTATGTTACATAACAGTCATTAGAAGTCTGGTTACTTGTATAGTTGATTATGTAGTTTGGTGTTGGAACCAAAAGTTCAGAGTATATATGTTGAAATGATTATCTACAAAGGTTTCCCACACTAGTGTGTTGTAGCTTAGTTACACAATATAGGCTTTAAGAAAAATAAAGTAAAATAAATACAAGGTGTTAATACTTCTAGGGCACATTCTGAGGCCAAGTTTGCCCCCTTTCCTTCCACGTCTTCTATATCCTATCTTTCTGTGCCCAGCTGTGCTGTTGGTAAGGCTCCTCAAAGAGGACTGTATAATAAGCCATGTGACTGAAAGCTACATAATGGCCCACTTTATAGAATGCCTCTAAACAAAGTGAAGAAAATGCATTTTTAAAAATTATTTGCTTTGTTCTTATAGTATCTATATTAAATATAAATTACTTTTACATTCATTGAATTTAAAATCTAGCTCTTGCCAAAGTGATGAACTAGCATGGGCCACGGGCCAGTTTTCATAGCCCAGTACTGGGCAGTCATAAAAATAATAGCTTTGTATGCTAGGTTTGGTGGCACATACCTGTAATCTTAGCTGCTGGGAGGCTGAGGCAGCCGGAAGTGTTGGAATGAGCCACGGAAGTGTCCAGAGGCGGGCTGGGGATTTAGCTTAGTGGCACCACGCCTGCCTTGCAAGCGTGAGATCCTGAGTTTGATCCCTGGTATGGGGGAGGGGGAGAAGAAGTGTCCAGAGGAAGGAGCATCCTAGGAAGAAGGGACTGAGAAAAGATTTTGAAGTATAGCAGTCTATCAGCAGTCCCTTGTGTCTGCCTTTTCTTCCTCTCCCCTCTCCTCCCCTCCCCTCTCCTCCGACTCGCCAACTGGCTAAGTTGCCAGGATGGGCTTGAATTTAAGATTCTTCTGCCTCAGCATCCCAAAGTGTTGGAACTACAGGCAAATAAGAACATTTTACTACATGGAAGTTTACAAAGCAGAATTGCTTAATCATTTTTCTGAAAAGAAATCATCTTGTCCCTGAATTGCTAAATGTAACCCTTCTGAATTTCATGATTTTTTTTTTTTTTTTTTTTTT